TAAAAATGTCCGCCAAGTAAGCAAGAGAGGAGAGCCATGCGAAATCATTTAAATAGTGTGTTAACTGAAATTTAGAGTTTATGAGGAACAACCTTACTTCGTCTCGAAGCTCAAGCAACCGCGTCAAAACCTTACCCCGGGACAGCCATCGGATTTCTGAGTGCAATAATAAGTGTTCGTGATCACTTCCCATTTCATTACAAAGCGCAGAAAATAATCGGCTGTTAAGAGGACGGGCTTTAATAAAATTGACAATTTTTACTGCCTCGTCTAGAACGATTTTCATTTTGGAGGGCATACGGCGTGCAGCTAATACTTCGCGGTGTATGCAACAATGTGTCCATTTAACAAGAGGTGCGACTTTCTGGATACGTGCGACCAAACCATTATGTATTCCCGACATTGCCTGAGCACCATCTGTGCTGATACCTACACATTTTTCCCATTGAAGTGTATTTGTAGTTATGAAGTCATTGACAACTTTGAAAAGGGCTTCAGCAGTTGTATTAAGAGGTAACGATTCACAGAACAAAAAATCTTCACAAACTTTATTTTCGTGTTCATATCGCACCAAAGCTACCAAATTAGCATTATTTGAAATATCGTGGCTTTCATCCAACTGCAACGCAAAATATTCACTATGACGTAACCGTTCTAGCAAAATATCTTTCACATTTTGAGCCATCTCGTCGATTCTTCTTTTCACAGTATTGTCAGATAACGATATTAGAGACACCTCGTTGGCATGTTTTTCACTAAACAAGTTCTTTGTTATCGTTTTTGTAGCAGGCAAAATTAAATCTTCCCCGATTGTATGGCGTTGTCCATTTCTAGCGATCAGAAGGGCGACTTCGTAAGAGGCAAGAACAGCCTTTTCATTTTTCGTTCCACATACAATGTCCTTAACTAAATTCTGTGAACCACAAAGTTGCAGTTTCTTATTTTGAAAATATTCTATTGGCTTATTAACTGATTCGCCATGTTTCGTTTCAAGGTGGCGTCTCAACTTCGACGGCTTCATAGATTCATTCGATAACACTTCGCAACAAAGAACACACTGTGGTCTGTCTTCGCCGTCTTTATTCAGAACGGAAAATCCCATTTGCAAATAAGATGGACAATATTTGCGTGATTTTTTGAGGGAAGGAACTTTATCTGCCCTGGTACTATTTTCGACAACACTAGATCCACTCGGATTATCGTCTGTCTTACGTTTCAATGATCCACACTTTAACCACCGATCCATATCTAAATAAGATCGTGAACAAACTGAAAATCAGAAGTTTCGTTGTGAACTCAATTATTTGAACAAAAGCAGAAAAACTGAATATTACACCGAGAAAAACACACTTGTATAATATTATAAAAATTCACTGCACAAAAACTAAAGAAACACGGGTTGTTCGCTCTGCCACTGAAATGAATAAGAAACGTGGTCAATGGTCCCAGGTTTATTCCCAACCAAAGAGGGATGGATTTGTTGGTGGAGGAGGGGAGAATGGTCGGACAGCAGGTACTAGGACAGCAGTCCACCCTGAAACACGGGTCTGAGATGCAATGGGCCGACCAAAAGAAAATGTCCTTGGAAAAAGCTACACAAATCGTTGGTTATTCACCTCTGCTTTACAAAGGGAAGAAGTAACGGTACCAACAGTCCCGTTAAATTTTATTACTTCAACCATGGGCCTCAAGAGCCAGAGATATACATTGCAAATATCCCAGGTGTGAGGAACATGATAAGATAAAGTTTAATGAAAATAAACTATCACTCGGACCCTTTTTGAATTACTCGCGAACCCCCAGCGGTCCGCGGACCACAGGTTGGGAAACACTGTTCTAGACGGTCGGCTCACAGATGGCGGTAAGGTTGTCAGCTGGCTGCCCTTTACCTCCAGGAAGATTCATGGTACTTGTTTCTGTTAGAGGGTGAGTCAACCCCAGGGCCATAGTGTGGCTAGAAGTATTAGGTCAATTGAAAAAACAGTGATGTTATTGGAAATCAAACCTGTGACCTTCTGACTTGTAGCATAGTGCCTCAACCAACTATGCAACTGTGTGCCCCCAATATTTGGTGTTGAAAACATTAAATGTATGGAAATATGCCTCCCTTCTCAAAGGAGTTGTACCTTCAACAAAAACAAACTCCGTGGTTTTGGTCCACAAGCTCAAATATAATTTAATATTACTTATTTCTTGTAGCATTCTGATTTTGGTACAACAGGAAATTAGATTTGATATTACACATGAATAATAAACACACAACAGAGCTGACCTAACCCACTGCATGAATTATTTTAGTATTTAAATTACACAGTTGAAAGGTGGATCCAGCTTGAAGCATACATTAAAATAAAATAGTAACTTTCACTAAATTATGCTATTTTGCAAACTTTTTGTGTGTGTGTAATTTCTAGTTGATGGTAGTCCTTGAGTGACTGAAACATGTTGTGGGACTGCATGTGTCTTACAGAAATAAAGTCTGTGTAATGATAGACAGTAATCATTTGTGTTTACACAAGTAGGATGCAAGCTTATTAAACCCATGCTTAATGTTTGTAATGGTGTATATACTAGATTAATTTTCTAGCTGCAGTAAATTTCATAATGTAAACAACACTAGGGCACTTTTGCAGCATAACTGACTCATGGAAATTAGTGCACTGTGAGAAACAAAAACTGATTTGATTTACCATTTCATTTATCATTGAACTACCTATAAAGTATCCCTGGTTTCATGATGCATGTTTGTGGTTGTTACAGGTAAGACCTTGTCTTACAAACTGAGGTAGCAGTAATGGAATACATTTATTTCAAATTTGCTTTCATAAAGGCATGATTTTGTGGTGCACTTCCATTAGCATATACCCAAACAACATGTAGATATTTTCACATAGGCCTCATATGATTGCCATTCAGTTTGCATAGTTATGTAGGATCCTCTGGGGTAGTATTAATGGAATTAAGAAACTAATCAAGCATAAGTTATGACTATAAGATTTTTGTATGCTTAATTTCCTCCCCTTGATGGCCCCCCCCAAGAAGTAGCTAGTTTTCTGCACGCAGGATGAATCTTACATATTCATAGAATTATACTTCTTTGGTTCCAGTAGTACCCTCCCATTGCTTGTATTCATTTATGACAAGAGAGAAGACGATTAGCATCATTATTGTGACTGCCCAGTTTATACCCAACATACATGCAATGCAAGACTAGTATAAAAAATGTTTTCAGCATAAAACAAATTCAAATTTAAATCTTTAGTGGAAAGTTATAGTTAATCTTGGCCTAAGCAGCATAGCATGAAGTCACATAAGGGGCAGTGGAGGTTAACTTCCACAATACACAGAGGTCAGACAGTTTCGTTCTCTGCCCACTTTATTCTGGAGAATGACCCTCTGATACCCAGTATGTAGGAGGCTGGATGGAGCACAGATGTGTTCTGGATCTGATGATCGTAATGGAAATTGAACTCTGGCAATCTGGCATGTGCAAAAAAAGAAGAATAAGAAGGAGCAAACGTATCCCTGTAACAGGCCGTGGAGGCCCATAGGGTTGTGAGATGTTGAGGTTCCCACATTTTCTAAACAATCGACTCATAGATGGCGGTGAGGTTGTCAGCCTTATGCGCCGGCTGTCCTTTACACCCATGAAGATTACTGGTACTCATTTCTGTTAGAGGCTGAGTCGACCACAGGGCCCTAGTGCGGCTGGAAGGATTAGGTAAATTGAAAAAACTCCAATGACCCCAATGATCCCGCGACCTTCTGGCTTGTAGCATGGTGCCTCAACCAACTATGCTACTGCATCCAGCATGTGTAAGAAATGTATTTTAAGAATAAATATATTGTATTGTGTTTTTGATGCTAGTCTGATTCTCCACCTCATAGCACTTAGCTTTAGGTCTGTTTCATGTTGAAGCTAAATGTGCCAGTTACTTCTCTGCATGTTCTGTACATCAGTCTGTATAATAATGAATTTTAATAAACCTTAATATTAGGCATACAGTAACTTGGAGAGTATAAGCGAACTGACTTGGAGATTGGAAATATGGAATATTTTATTTTCAACATATTTGTTTCATACAGTTATCATAGCATAAGTGTATAGAAAATTATAGAGAATCTAGACATTTGTTTCTGCTGCTCCTTCAACATGAAAACATGGGAATACATAATTCTCAAATGTATATAAACATGACTGTAAAATAAGAACTCATGTCTGGTAAGGTCTTATAAATTCTTGCTTTGCAGTTGGATTTCCAACATTTTTGCATATTTAAAATTGCAGTTTTAAAATTGTTGGAATCACAACAATATTCTTAGAATGCACTGACAAAAAAGCATGTGTTAGTATTGATTCTAATTTCGATATCTGACAGCCACTTGGTAGGTTCAGGGTGGATTGCTCATTTATAATAATCCAGTTTCAGAAAATCAGAATGTCGTTAGTTTTTGTAAATGTGTATGAATAATGTATGTATTTCATACTTAGTGCATCTGACATTTGTTCATTATATTTATTGATATTCTTGAAAGAAAAACAAATCAAACTCCGTGGTTTTAGTCTTCAAGCGAACTACCATATTTACGCATGTATAGGCCGCGTGCGTGTATAGGCTGCAGCACAATTTTCAGACAAATTATAGAAAAAACAATTTTCTTGGAATATTATTTCAGGAGTATTACACCCTGTATTACTAATTATGAATATATTTTTTTTAAATGAAGTGTGATTTCGAATATTTCGAATATAAGCCGCACCCCAGTTTTCCTCTTGAATTTTTGGCAAAAATGTGCGGCCTATACATGCGTAAATACGGTATATGCTGCATAAAATTCTTTGGTTTTAGAATCATTTGTTATTGTACCAAAATATTTGATACCATTTCATTATTAAATCAGAGAAACTTCTAATGTGTTTCCCACCTAATACAGTATGATTCAGCATATCACTTTTGCTGTAACTCCTAAAAGTAAACTTTCTTTCCTTTTTTCTTCAGATATCAGACATTGTTGTGGGCCAGGAGCCTAATGTATCAGCACGAGATGCATTGTTGAGATGGGCCAGGCGTTCAACAGCCAAGTATCCTGGTGTCCGAGTCACTGATTTCACGAGCTCATGGCGTGATGGCTTGGCATTCAATGCTATTATTCATCGTAACAGGTAATGGCTCTTATTACAGGCATACTGTGTTGCACTGTTACATTTTCAGCTCAGTTCTAATTGCTGTATCACCACAGCATAATGAAGGAGCAACTCTATTTTGTGTACAAAACCAAATTATAAGTAGTGGGCCTTGAAAGTCCAAACTGTGGCTTGCAGGCATCGTATCTATTACCTGACAGGTCCTTTAAAAAGGAATAGAAACTTGCTCTTTGCTCCATTTAGTGTTTGAATGAACGTTGTAGGGGTCTGTAAGATGCATCAGAATCTGTCAGATGACTATTAACAGTTTGTTGCCATTCTTTTCATAGCAAGGAAAGATTGCCTTATGAGGAGGTCGTGTGTGACCTAATATTACTGTGTAAACCATTGCACATATTTTTTATCTTTTAATCTAGCATTAGACACCTTCACTAAAAATTGTTCAAGTTTGATTTTCAGCCACATTTATCAACAATAAATTCTGCTGTGCATTAGGGCATAAATAAACTTCGTCATGAATGTTATCATATGTATGGAATGTGACTGTAGATGGGGTTTGGATTGGTAATCAGATTTATTGAACTCTTTAACACACAACTCATGACTACACTCTGCAAATCACTGTCACACACACAGACTAGTGTTTTCAGTCTGTTATAGTCTCAACTAGCTGTTGGTTGGTAGCAAGCTTCCAGCAGTGGACATTCCCCCCTATTCTGGGTTCCCAAAATACAGGGCTACTATAAATGATTCATTCGTTTTTGAAACGCTATATTTTCCAAAGCATTATACATACAAATATGATTGATATATAAAAAGAACAATAAACTCATCAGGTTTTCTTCACACTCTACAAATGTTCTATGTGTGCCCCTTGGGTCACATGACACATGTCCAGGTGGTAGTCGAGCTCATTCCAGACATTTTGTAGCATCATCCTGTCAATGGTCATCACTGCAGCAACGATGCGTTCCCTCAGCTCTACTAGTGTTCTTGGCAGTGGGGAGTACATAAACACGATCCTTAATGTACCCCCAAAGGAAGAAGTCACAAGGCGTTAGATCAGGTGATCTGGGGGGCCAACTGAACAGAGCTACGTCATCCTCACCAACACGCCTAATCCAGCGATGCCGAAGTTCATTGTTTAGGTGGCGAGGAACATTGCCGATACCACCGCAAAATGCTTTGTTTACATGGCGGTTCTTTTCCGTACTCTCTTTTGAATGCACGTTGCACTACTATAACAGACGAACATCTCGCATATTCCAAAAAAAAAAAACTCTTTTCTTGCTTTGTCGCCATTTTGTAAAGGCACTGAACTCGTGCTGCCAACTGGTGCACAAAATACAAACTTGGTGAGTTTACGGTTCTTTTTATTTGTCAGTCATATTTGTACGTATAATACTTTCGAAAATATAGCGTTTTAAAAACGAATGAACCATTTATAGTAGCCCTGTATCCACAACCTCAGCAACCAGCTTCTCACAGCAACTGAACTGCAGCAGTCCTCTAACTCACTCACCAATTCTTCACTAACTCCACTGACCGACTTATAATATCCTGCTTATAATATCTTGGCACGGACTGCATAGAAAATACCACTTTTCTGTTATGGTACAATTGTTGTCGTGGAATTTTTGCGTTCATGTCTGTTGTGGAGCCGTTACTTAGCAACGGCTGTTGTGTAGGTGCTTATTTCATGGTCGTTACCTATCAGCGGGTCTGCTTGCCCCAATATTATAAACCCTTAATTAAGATTAAAGTCATTTGACATGGCAGATGTATGCATAATGTTGTCAGTATTTTTAAGCCATATTACGTGATTGAAAAGCTATTGTACCTGAAGTCGCAAATGAAATTTCTCGTACCTATGTATCTATAAATTATATATCAGATTTTGGTGAAATTCAAAATGGGAGGTGTATGCCTAACATTGGTAGGGCATTTTGAGTGTTAACCATGTTGACTGATTACAAAATTTAACTGCTTTACATAAGGTCAAGAATGTAATCTTTCATTTATATCACGAACTTTGTATATATTTAATATCAGGGATCTGTGTATAACATTATTTGGACATTCTGATTTTCAGCCATGTTGACTGGTATCAAAACTTACTTTTTACATAAGGCCATAATTGGGATTTTCTGTGTGTCACATGAATTGTTCCAAATATTTTGTTGTAATTTAGTATGTTCCTTATTATGCTACCTAAATACAAAGTTTGCACCTTTTATCAAATACATTTTGTATTTTGTTGAAATGCCACTTTTTAATTGGCCACAAATAAGTTCAATAAACTGCAAAGAATTCCATTTGGAATTTCTTCTAGTACATAATGTGGTACACTTTTTCCAGTCTGATTGTAATCAGTCTGTGTCCGTTTCCACATGGGCAAATGCAGTACAGTGTTTAGGATATGTAATACTTCATACATTCTAGTAATTTAACCTACATCCCCTTAGAAATGCAAGCAAATACTCTGTGTCTTATGAACCATGTGCATGTTTTTAGCTTTCTTTGCTTATGAGACACAGTGATCCCTTTTCAACTTTTCAACCAGTTAATTGATTTTCTCAAAACCTGGTATCATTGTTATGCCATTGGAGAAAGCCCCAGTCTTGAACTTTTTAATTTTCTGCAATTGGCAATACAGACATAATGGACGCACAAATTTATGAGACATGAAGAATGCTTAACTCAGGGTTGTAGAAGATACATTGTACTAGATCTTCAAAATGTTTGCTGCTCTTTTTGAGGTAAATTTCTCCTGTAAAATGTAAAACAGCAATCAGACAGTTGCATGAAATTTGCATTTAGCTTTTGGCTTGATTAGTACTGAAACATTGGAACTAGGAATGTGAAAATTGATATGGAGATAGATCATAAGATTAGCCTAAATAACAAATCATAAACGTGATGATAGTATAAACTTCTGGGGCTGTGTCTGACGCTTTTAACTCGACAAAATCTACTTAAAATAAGATTTACCAAACAACAGTATCTGCAACATATTTACAATTGCAGTCAATAAAATGCCCATGCAAACATTAACGCAATCACTGGGTTAAATTGCATGTCACTGTTTGATCCTCAATTTGCATTGCCTAAGTATGACAGCAACACAAGATTTTTAGGACTGAAGTGTGTCAGTATGAAAGCAGATGTCATGAGTTCTGTCCAGCACTAATTGTGTCTAATACTGAAATCCAAGATCTGTTTTTCAAAATTACCCATGGAGTTATATGTCTTCATAAGTCTTATGTGTTTCTGAGTTTTTAAATTCTTAAATTTTGATTTATTATATCTTTCACTTGTGTAAATTTTGACTTTTTTATTTTGTAATAATTTTCAGTCTGAATAATATTGCATATTTTTCTGTAGTTCTAAAAACTTGGATAAGTTTTGCAGTTCTCAAAAGAAAGAGTTGTATGTCCAAATTGGAAAGTACAAATACTGGAAAGATGATATGTTTTCATGTCCCTTTTGATAAACGGAGTATTAGAATTCAGAGTAAATGACGATCTGGAGGCAGAAAGATGGTCTCATCCTGAAGGTAGGGATTGCATAAATATTTGATCAGTAGGAAGCCGTCTCCTTTTTAGGAATCAGGCAGTGCTTTAACATATTGATTCGGTTTTGTTTGAATGAAAAGTTTATTAGCATGACACCTTAAAGTTATTGCAATGAAGTCGTGTAAATGCTGGTACAACAACTATGATATGATTATGTAAATAAATGCAGAATGTGTAATTACTGTAATTTCATTTTCAGACCCGACCTGATTGACTGGCGTTCAATCCGTACACGGATTGCACGAGAGCGCCTTGAAAATGCTTTCCATGTGGCAGAGAGGGAATATGGTGTGACCAGACTTCTTGATCCTGAAGGTAAGAATACTGTAGCCTTTTGTTGATAGTCTTCCAGGAGAGGCTAGGATATTATATTGTCCTTGTTCAACTGAATATATTACCACGTATTTGGGGTTTGCGCTACTACTAATAATAATGGATTCTGGATTTGATGATTGGGTTTATTGGATGCATCTTTACAATTGCAATCGATTATGACAGCTCATAATCAATGACTGTCTATGACTCACTACATTTCTTGCAGAACCACAAGCATCTTCTCTTTTGCTGTGACAAATGATGATTGAAGAATTCCTACTCACACCTTGAAATCTCTTACAAATGAATCTATCACTGATCTAACTTCCAGGCAGCCCAAATATAGGTCATCATCTCAAACAGTCCCTCTGTTATTCTCCCATCGTCATGGGCGTGTCTTTATTAATATTTGTTGCTACGGGAGCCTGTGTTTGTGGACTTGCTGCCTAGCAATGGATGTCCCACTGTAGACTGTGTCACCTCAAGAACGTGTTTACTTGAAGTGTCGTCTAGCAGTGGTTTAGTCCATCACAATATGGTGACAGTTATCTTTTACTGTAAATGGAAGATTTATATTGAAGATTTTATGTAAGTAATACCCATGACAGTTCGTATTTTCTCACTTAGGCAGTCCCCATAATCTCAGGGACAGGATGGAAATGTGCTAAGGTGGTAGAATTGTGCGACCTACTGAATAATGTGTGAAGTACAAATGAGATTGCATAATGGGGTTATTGTATTAGTCCATCTGCATGTTTCATTACAAAAGCATTCAGTGAGTTTCCATGAAATTTGGTGCTGGGGTCTTTGTGCTAAAAATCATCAGACACATTTAATTTGGGTCCATACTACTCCTACTTTCACACGTTATCCATTTGTCAAAGGCTCCCGATCATATGTATAATTCTTAGACAACATAAAATACAAATCTCATTAAGATCTCAAACTTCTCTCTGCTTCATTTTTATACTATGAATATTTAATAAATGTGGAGCCAGTTTAGGGTTACAAAGAACGGTGTCGATAGTGTGGTTAGCTTTGAAACAGAGTTGTATTTTAAATATATTAATGTCATAGACATTGATGAAGGTAAAATTCCAAAGATATTCAGAAAGTATGTGTACTGGACTAGAGTACATGTTTTCACCCATTTGTTTTTAGAACAAAACACAAAGCATATGTACTTATAAGTATCTTGAAGAAAGCAGTCTTCTGGGATTTGGCACCGTGTATATGTGGTGTTAACCGACGTTTCGGAGGAACGTATCGCCCCCATCTTCAGGGTAGAAGAAAAAGTATAAGAATTCTGCAAGCGACAACACCGTGAGAAACGGTAAAGCAGACTCACGGTGTTGTCGCTTGCAGAATTCTTATACTTTTTCTTCTACCCTGAAGATGGGGGCGATACGTTCCTCCGAAACGTCGGTTAACACCACATATACACGGTGCCAAATCCCAGAAGACTGCTTTCTTCATAGTCACCGCCGTGAAAGCCTCAAATCTTATAAGTATCTTGTTTCATGGGATGCACACCTTCATAAAAGTTTTGTGTAATTCTGAATATTGAGAGGAATGAAGCAGGAAATTCTGTTTGCTCTATACTGCCAAGTATTGTTCACTCCAAAATTTATGTAAACAGTGAGTGAGGGAGAAAATCTTTTGCTTCAGCAAACTTTTCTTATTTTCATTGGTTGGAGGAAGGAGATGTTTAGGATCATGGTTGCAGGCGATGGAGCAAGACGGGCGGAGTGGGTCAGATGTCTGACTTGTAGAGTTATAACTTCCGTCCATTGTAGGGATGTCAGTATCAGCTTCGTAACACCTGCACCCAGCCACTCCTTTAGAAAGGGGTGTTAATAGTTAATCAAAACATTATTATGCAACATATGAGAAGGAACAGATGTTTACAGTTTCACTCCAGTGATCTGTGGCAATTTATCAGGAAGTCAGTAGCAGTGTGGTAAAAGGTCCTAATTCTTTTTGGATCACAAAGTCTTTGAGTTAATAAAATTAACCAATTTAAGTGTGGAGACCTCGCAGGCAAAAATCTGCACGTTATTAGTTTGTTTTAAAACGCCTGATCAAAAGCATTGATGGAATAGAGTGCAATGTGAGCTGTGCGCAAAATAGCCTGTTTTTTCTTCTTGTTTTTCTGTAAGGCTTTTGAAGAGGTGTCAAAGAATTCCATTGGCCTGCCACTCCAAATTAATGTTCTCTTGAAAAAAATATGGTTCCTACTATCCATGCATCAGTAGTGGCACATCACACACCAGTCGTCTGATTATGAAGGGGTACTGCAGAAATCTGTGTTAGATTAATATACAGTGGAACCTCGCTTAACGAGCACCTATAATAACGAGCAAAACAAATTGTAAAAAAATGACTCGCTTAACGAGCAATATTTCGCATAATGAGTGATGAGAGGGGAAGTCCCAGATTGTGTGCTTGCTACATCAGTCTGTGTTTAGCACTTGTTCTGCTAGCATCTTAGTGTCGCTTGTGATCACACATTTTTCCAAACTTGTGTTGAGACATATTATTTGTGATTTTTTTGTGTGCAAAGTTTAATAACCTTTGCAAAAATGTCCCCAAAGAAAAAGACAGCCATAAGAGAATAAAAATAACCGTAGAAATGAAACGTAAAATCATTGAAAAGTGAGTACGAGGTGTGAACGTGGCAGATCTAGCATGCACATACAGTCGGTCTACATCAACGATTTGCGCTATCCTCAAGATTAAGGAGATAGATGCTTCAAAGGGAGTGACAAGAATATCTACGCAATGGTTACATATTCTCGACGATGTTGAAAGGTTGCTCCTCATATGGATAAACGAAATGCAATTGCAAGGCGACGCTATTAACGAGAACATCATTTGTGAGAAGGCGAAAGTCATTTTCGCTTACCTCGTTAAGAAGACGCCAGGATCACCAATGGCCGAAGAAGAAGCATTTAAAGGAAGCCGTGGGTGGTTCAAGAAGTTTAAGAGATGAACCGGCATCCACAGTGTTGTAAGGCATGGTGAAGCAGGAAGCTCTGACAGAAAGGCAGCAAAGAACTTCATTGGTGACTTCAAGAAGCTCATAGATTCTGAGGGTTACCTGCCGCAGCAGGCTTTTAATTGTGACGAGATGGGTCTCTTCTGGAAGAAGATGCCAAAGCGAACCTATATAACAGCAGAGGATAATGCATTGCCCGGGCAGGTTGGTTCATTCCGCATAGAAGAAAAGATGAAGATGATTCACGCTCCTTAACAATGTATATATTTCTTTGAATAAACGTTATATATAAAATTTTTTGAGTACTTTTTTCAGCATGGAACGCATTATCATATTTTACATTAATTTATATGGGAAAAATTGTTTCACTTAACGAGTATTTCGCATTACGAGTAAGATTCTGGAACGAATTATGCTCGTTAAGCGAGGTTCCACTGTAGTTCCAATACATGCTGTTCTAGCCACTGATATACCTGCTCAGATTGAAACGAGTTTCATCAGTAAAGAATGCAAGTTTTGAGTCGAGGTTATCACGTACTTCCCACAAAAAACTTTCTGAAGTACATTCTTCTTTCATAACTGCCAATTTCAGTTGCTTGAAGCTGTCCAATTTTGTATGACTGTAGACATACATTTTTAGTCACTCTCCATATTGTGGTTGAAACCTGTGCCTGATGAGGTAATCATGTTAGGGATTTATGAGATGAATATTCTAACCTGACTCTAATTCCATCAAGCTTTTCCTCAGCACATTAATCTATCGTATATTTATAGTCTAGGAAAGGCCCAGTTGAGCACACTTGGTTCACTATTTGAAAATTGTTGATGAAGATGGGTCTCACACACACAATACTTAGACAGTAAATCTTTCCTTTGCACAATTTGTATGATTTATTTTTCACACACACATAATATTGTCACTTGTTAGTGACTAGGCACAGGATTTTAATTGATAATTGGATTTATTGAATTTTTGTAAGTTGTAATTACAAATAACTATAACAGTCTCATTAATTGACACTCTCCAAATCACTACGACTGCAACATGCAGAAAGTCTTTTGGTTGTTCACTAGTCATGGCCAGGTAGTGGCTGCTAACAGTGCAGCTCAGGGTTGACTAGCCACTGACTCTGACTTGTGACTGACTATAAACTGACTGGTTTGTCCCGTTATTCCTCGTTATATAACCTTGGCATGGACCACACAGAAAATACTGTGTACTCCGTTGTTGCATCAGTATCTATTGCCAGGAAAACATCTTTACTACACCATTACCCAGCAATGGCCATATCTCTTCATTCAACTATTCTGGCTTTCAGCCATCATGTTACAATATTAGTTCAAGATTTAAGTATTGCGGTATGTGAATGGTGTTAGCTATGGTTACCAGAATGGACAGGTGTCAGAGTATGCCGTTGGGTTAAAAGCTTCTTGGGAGACACATGACCTGGCATGTGGATGTTTATATCCATATTTGTCAAACCAGTGAGCAGTACTATGTTATATTTTATTCTGTTTGAAGACTTTGTGCGTGTTTGTCTTGTATGCTGCTGATGAGTCTTTCTCGCCTTTTCATTATGTGCATGTATACAGCAGTGACTAAACACTTCCAGAACAAAAAGGTTTTCCCATTTTTCAAAATGTATTTATGAAAATTCAGTGATTCATTGAACTACTGAATGAAATGGTCACACATATAGGATGTTCTGAGAGTTGCTGTCTTGTACTTGCAGATGTTGATACCCCTGAACCAGACGAGAAGTCACTCATCACATATATATCATCTCTTTATGATGTCTTCCCTGAACCTCCGCCCATTCATCCACTGTATGACCCTGTAAGTAGTGTTCTTTTTTTTTNCTACACACACACACACCACATTTTTGTAATTTCTAAGGTAGATGTTTCTGTGTGTGTGTGTGTGTGTGTGTATATATGTATGTATGTATGTATGTACGTATTTGTGGGCATGAATGTAGGACTAATTTTGTTATCTTTGTAAATCTGCAGATTAGAAGCGGTATGATTTATGAATATCCAGTTGCTGAAATTTTTAAATGAAATACATAATGAAACAGTTTATCATATCTTGTTTTCAAAAGAAATACAAAGTAGTGAATAAACATTAGCTCATATTATCGTATGTTGTTTTCATTGAATCTGGCCCCAGTTGATCATCTTTTCATTCTATTTGTTTGCTCTATGACATGCCCTGTACACAAGCTAGCAAACTTGTTTGTCTTTTGTATTCAGAATTAGAATTTTCCAAGTCCATTTATGCCTCTGAATCATCATCATAAAATAGAATGTATATTAGACACAAATTGTATGTCATTTAATATATATACAACTAATTTTTATTGTGCTTAATATCAGGAATTACAGCAACGAAGTGCTGAATACCGAGACATTGCTAGTTCCCTTCACTTATGGATGAGGGAGAAATTATCCATCATGTTGGACCGAACATTTCCGAATACGCTAATCGAAATGAAGAAACTCGCTGCCGAATCAAGTCGGTTCCGAACAGATGAGGTTCCACCACGTCAGAAAGACAAGCATAAACTCACGCACATATTCAGAGAATTGGAAGTAAGTATAACTTTGTGGAACAGTTTTTACTTATGAAAGAAAATCTGTCAAAGTGAGTAGGAAATACATAGAGATGGTGAGTGCAGTTGGTGTTGGTGTGGCCTTTGTGTTTTATGTAAAAGTGACATGTTCACTGCCATGCTTTTTAATTGGGCCCCTACTTTAAAGGCTGTTGTTTTAAGCGAAAGTTTTAAGGTTTTGTGCTATTTGAAGGAAAGAATTATATTTCGCAAATACCACAGAAGACATTAAAAATTTAACATTACAATTAGTAGAACCTGAGTGTATGGCACTGTATATATGAGTGTTCAGGGTGGGAATTCCATACATGAGATACAGAAATCTGGTGTCCCATTCTGTGTTATCTTTAAGACACCCTGTTACATCTTTCTCATCTCCTTCTGTGGCAGGAATTTTAATTCAATTTCTTCTTTGCCTTCTAATGCTTATTCTGCTAGACATGATTTGAGGAATCGATATTCATAATTTCTACAACTTAATCTCTCCCTAGTGCTTCTGATGTTTCCAGTGCCATTTACATTTACATTTATTTATCATTTCATCGATCCAATCATCTCCCTGTAGGGCTGGATATAACACATGTCACATAATACAAATTCATGATGACTACACATCCTTCATCCTTGGTCCAATAAAATATAAAATCAAGCCCGAGACAGAATAGCTCAAGTTGTCAGGACAGCACACATAGGTCATGGAAAAACCTTGATCAAAATCACACCTTGCCATTCCACACATGCTGGCAAGCCATATCATCCGAACAGTTATACAGTGGAACCTCGCTTAACGGGCACCTCTCATAACGAGTAATTCACTTAACGAGCAAAACAAATTGTAAAAAATGACTCGCTTAAAGAGCGACGTTTTACATAATGAGTGACAAGAGGGAAAGTCCCGGATTGTGTGCTTGCTACATCAGTCTGTGTTTAGCACTCGTTCCGCTAGCATCTTAGTGTCACTTGTGATCACACATTTTTCCAAACTTGTGTTCAGACATATTATTTGTGATTTTTTTGTGCAAAGTTTAATAACCCTTGCAAAAATGTCCCCAAAGAAAAAGACAGCCATAAGAGAATAAAAATAACTGTAGAAATGAAACGTAAAATCATTGAAAAGTGAGAACGAGGTGTGAGCGTGGCTGATCTAGCACGCACATACAATTGGTCTACATCAACGATTTGCACTATCCTCAAGAACAAGGACATGATTAAGGAGAGAGATGCTTCAAAGGGAGTGACAAGAATATCTAGGCAACGGTTACGTATTCTCGACGATGTTGAAAGGTTGCTCCTCATATGGATAAACAAAATGCAATTGCAAGGCGACACTATTAATGAGAACATCATTTATGAGAAGGCGAAAGTCATTTTCGCATACCTTGTTAAGAAGAAGACTCCAGGATCACCAATGGCCGAAGAAGAAGCATTTAAGGGAAGTCGTGGTTGGTTCGAGAAGTTAAAAGAGAAGAACCAGCATCCACAGTGTTGTAAGGCACGGTGAAGCAGCAAGCTCCGACAGAAAGGCAGCAGAGAACTTCATTGGCGACTTCAAGAAGCTCATAGATTCTGAGGGTTACCTGCCGCAACAGGCTTTTAATTGTGACGAGATGGGTCTCTTCTGGAAGAAGATGCCAAAGCGAACCTATATAACAGCAGAGGATAATGCATTGCCTGGCCATAAGCCAATGAAAGACCGTCTCACGCTGCTATTTTGTGCCAATGCAGGCAACGATTTGAAGATTAAACTGCTGCTTCTTTACCATTCAGAAACTCCACGAGCCTTCAAGAAGTGTAAGGTCCAGAGGAGCAGGCTAAATGTGATGTGGAGGTCCAACAACAAGGCTTGGGTGACACGTGACCTTTTTACTGATTGGATCAATGAAGTGTTTGGTCCTTCTGTGAAAAAAATATTTGCTTGAGATGAATCTGCCATTCCATGTTTTTCTTGTTATGGGCAACGCTCCTGCCCATCTTTCAGACCTACAAGGTAACCTCCTTGAAGAATTTAAATTCATCAAGATCCAGTTTCTGCCCCCCAGCACCACCCTGTTACTCCAGCCTATGGACCAGCAGGTTATTTGTAACTTTAATAAGCTGTACACTAAAGCACTCTTCGAGCGTTGTTTTGAGGTGACTGAAGGGACCAATCTCACTCTCAGAGAGTTTTGGAAATATCACTTCCACATCATTGCCTGCCTCAAGATGATCGAAAAGGCGTGGAAAGGGGTTACCAAGAGAACCCTCGCTTCTTCTTGGAAGAAGCTTTGGCCGGAGAGCTTCGCCGAATGTGACTTCGAGGGGTTTGAGATAGTACCTGTGGAGCCTGTAGTCAACGAGATTGTGTCTTTGGCCAAGATCATGGGGCTGGAGGTGGATAACAATGATATCGATGAGCTTGTGGAAGAGCACAGCCAAGAGTTGACCACCGAAGAGCTTATGGAGTTGCATTGTGTTTCACACGAAGAAGTTGTGGAGGAGAGTTTGTCAGAAGAGGAGGTAACAGCAAATCAGTAATCTTATGGCGCAATAAGAGAAATGCTGAAAGCATGGGAAACTGTTGCATCGTGCATTGAGAAGGATCGCCCTAATAAGGGAGTGGTAATGCGCGCTACAAATTTATTTAATGATAATGCTGTGTCACATTTTCACCAAATTTTGAAGCGTCAGCAAAAACAAATGTCTCTAGACAGCTTTCTGGTAAAAAAGAATTAGATATGTATCATAAATAATAAACTAATTATTTCAATTTTTTTTTCTGCAAATCGAATTTGCATTCCAGGTTGGTTCATTCTGCATAGAAGAAAAGATGAAGATGATTCACATTCCTTAACAATGTATATATAATACTCTCTGAATAAACGGTATACATAAATTTTTTTTTAGTATTTTTTTGGCATGTAACGCATTATCGTATTTTACTTTAATTTATATGGGAAAAATTGTTTCGCTTAACGAGTGTTTCGCATTACGAGTAAGATTCTGGAATGAGTTATGCTCGATAAGCGAGGTTTCACTGTATTATAAAATATTAAAATTCGTCTGTGTGCATAATATAAACTCCGTCATAAGTGTAACACTTTATTGTAGTTCTTGTCCCCCTTCTTTCACACTACATGTTTCGGCTGCAGCCGGCCATCATCAGGTGTATTTCACTTCACGTAGCTGTCACACTGCACTCAGTATTAACATTTAAACTCCAGATTTCCAATTGTTCATTGCTCTATCTTCAATCGACACCCCATATTCCAGAACTTGCCTTGTCGATTTTTATATTTAAATCTTTATTAATATTCACGCATCAATTTGTTTATTTTTTTTTTAATTTCCCAATTTAGTTTTAATATTTTAAAATTTTAAATTTAAATCAACATCACAGAGATACCTGCTCTATGCTTATATGTGCTGCAGCGGCTACCTCATGCTTTCAGCACAGCTCATGTGTTATTTTGTGCAGGTTCTCTGTGTGTGTGCCACTGCTTTCCTTTAATACGTTTGCTTAAAGAAAAGCATTGGCACACACACAGAGAGCCTGCACAAAATAACACATTAGCTGTGCTGAATGCATGAGGTAGCCACTGCAGCACATATAAGCATAGAGCAGGTATCTCTGTGATGTTGATTTAAATTTAAAATTTAAATTTTAAGACTAAATTGGGAAATGAAAAAAAATTAAACCAATTGA